GCCCATGTGCTGGCCATCCCTGAGTGCATCTGCTTCCACTGCACTGTTGCGTGTGTCTGGGATGGGACACAGCCCTCTCTCGTGTCCAAGCCATTGCCAAATGTACTTGCGCAGTTCACCGGCCTGGTGCCATGTCAGGCAGGGACTGAGACCGTGGATCAAGCAGGTGCTGAATGAACGGAACTTGAAGCCTGATGTCGTTCTGCCCTGAGTGGATGGGCAGGCTCTGTGGCTTGGACAGCAAAGGCAAAGATCTGCTGACTGCTTTGCGCTTCAGCCTACAAACACCTTCATGCCTTGCATTGGAGTCTCAGTCTGAGTGCCCAGGAACTGCCCCTGGGAGGGAAGGTGTTGGGATCACCCTGCAAGGGCTCGACCTTAAGGAGAAGGAGCTGTGGCATTGAGAAGCTGGTAAACAGCTGGATACCTGCAGGGCTCAGCCTTGTGGAGAGGGAGCTGAGGTAAACAACTAAGAGGAAGCAAAGGAGCGTGTGTATAAAAGGGATTCTGTTGTACAATAAAGGTTGGCATTGATCTGATCATACTGACTGAGTACGTCATGTCCATGACTTCCACGTCATTTGGCGCCTGAACAGGGACCCTCTAGTCGATGCTTCCCGGAGCAGAAGAGACAGCAAAGCGGTGCGGAAGCCAGCCGTAACAGGTGCTGCCCCGGTGCCTGGAGGATGCTAGCGAAAACGAAGAAACCATCGGAATCTCGCCCTGATCAGGTGATTGGCTGGGGAGGAGATGGGGTCCATGCTAACAAAAGAGGAAGAAGCGGTGGTTAAGCTCCTCCAACATATCCTCTCAGAGAGGTGTACAGTATGAGGAAGCCAGCCTAAAAAGATTATTGTTATGGGCGCGGCAAAAAGGACTAATCCACCTCAGTAGGTGCGGCTTTTGAGGTCCCTATCTGGGAAGGAATTGGCGCAGCACTGTGGGATGAAGTCAGCACAGGCCGCAAAGACAGTATAAAGTTTCCGACGCTCTGGAGGTTGATCCTAGAGACATTAAAAGAACTAAAGGCAGAACGCGTTGCTACTGCTTCTGCCTTTGCAGCTCTGTCAGCTGAATTTGGGGATCTGAGAGGCACCGCTACCTCTATGATGTTTGAGGGTCCGGTAGTTCCTCGGGTGCCCCCAAAAAGAAGCGAGACTGTTCTGACCATAGTCACAACACCAGAACGAGATAGCCAGGAACGGCCAGAGTTCCCACTTACAAGTCCCCGGAGCGAGTCGCCAGAATGATCCTCACTGTCACTGCCGCCAGTAGATGAGGGGGAGCTCCGTGACCAAACAGAACAACAGTTGCAAGAGCTGATAGAAAGACTGAAGCAGTTGGAGACTTGGTTGGACCATACTGTGCTACCCGTCTCCAGAACACCACCGCCACCCACAAGTCTGTTTCTGTGGGGTGGGGTGGGGGCGGGAGGTCAGGAAGAAATATCAGTGTTTGACCCACTGCTACCCTCTGTGCCAACGTTGGAAGGGACAGTGGGAGGTATTGGTACGTATGGTGAAGGGGGGCCGGTGCAGTGGTGGAGGAAGGTGGCGAGAGAAGCTATTGGTGATGGGGAGTTGGTAAAACCAATGGCTTTCCCAGTGGTGACTACTCAACAGGGTGATAATACATGGGAATCGGTAGAATGGAAGCTGATTAAGGAGGCTAAGACAGCAATCTCTCAGTATGGGCTGAAGTCGCCTTATACCAGTTCCATGTACAACACATCTTTGCTTCTAATCTAATGTGTCCATATGGTACAAAAATGATAGTACAGACATTATGTACCCTGTCACAGCAACTGCAGTTTTTTCAGCGATGGCAGATGGCATGTGACAAGGTAGCGGCAACAATACGACAACAAGGAGATCCTTTATACGGGATACAGGCTCAGATGTTAACTGGGTCAGGGCCCTATGTGAATCCTGATTGGCAGGTAAGGTTTCGGCCCGAAGTATTACGGAAGAGTCAGGAACTAGCACTAACTATTTTCTTGACACTGCATGGTGAAAAATCGACACCCGTTTTTACGGCAGTTAAGAAGGGGCCATCAGAGTCTTATGCAAAATTTATTGACTGGGTACATGTGGCTATCTATGGCAACCCAGATTTGTCAAACAATATCAAAGTGGAATTTTTGGATATGCTCTCTTTTGATAATGCAAATGAAAGGACAAAGAAAGCCCTAAGCCATTTACCTGGTTGATAAATGTTGGAAGCAGCTGATCGAGTATTTGAACAGGAGAGGGCTGCTTTTATGGCTGCTGCGGTGGGGGCTGCAGTCAAACTGGTTGTACAAGGAAAAGGAGGGAAAAGAAAGTCAGACAAAAAATGTTTTAATTGTGGGAAATTTGGACACTTTAAGGTGCAATGTAGAAACCCTCCAACTAATCCAGAGGCCAGAGCGCAATCGCAGGGTTTAGGGAAATTGTGTGAGCAATGCCAAAAATCGTCCCATAACACCAATGAATGTCGTAGAAAGGGAAACGGAATGTGGAGCGTGCCTCGCCCTCGCGCAACGATACAAAATCAGGGTGCTTGGACAGCTGTTCCAAGACAGCCACCTCCAGAAGCGCCGGAGTGGACCTGGCAACAGCAGTAGCTGTCACTCTTGACAACACTGAGGTGCAGGTGATAGAATCAACTCTCAGGGGACCTTTAGGTCATGATTTAAGTGCTCTGTTAATAGGACGATCCTCCGTGTCTAGGCAAGGTATCTTTGTAGTCCCAGGATTGATCGATGCTGATTATCATGGGGTAATTAAAATTATGGTACATACCCCTGTTCCTCCGTTGACAATCTTAGCAGGGTCAAAAATCTCTCAATTGATTCCGTTTAAATCAATAGTGCCAATTTAAGTGCTCTGTTAATAGGACGATCCTCCGTGTCTAGGCAAGGTATCTTTGTAGTCCCAGGATTGATCGATGCTGATTATCATGGGGTAATTAAAATTATGGTACATACCCCTGTTCCTCCGTTGACAATCTTAGCAGGGTCAAAAATCTCTCAATTGATTCCGTTTAAATCAATAGTGCCAAATGCTAGCACAAGAATAAGGGGGGATCAAGGTTTTGGATCTACAGGGCAGCCAGATGTTTTATTGGCTTTAGATATTAGTAGGGGAAAACCTGAAGAACAAATGGATTTAAGACATCCCAATGGGCAACTCACTAGATTAGGTAAGGTTATTGATACAGGGGCAGATGTCACCATTGTCTCCTATCATAAGTGGCCTAAGCACTGGCCCTTGATGCCGGCTAATACAGGAATTATGGGAGTAGGAGGGACACAAGTTACGTTGGTGAGCAAAGACGTAATTGCTTTTACGTTTCCAGACAGAAGAACGGTTTCTACGCGACCATACGTGATGCATTTGCCTGTTGCCTTGGTAGGCAGGGACCTACTTAGTCAAATAGGGGCTCGACTAGTTACACCACCTTTTTAGGGGCGGTCACTGAGCAGCAGCCAATCCTAAAGCTGAGTTGGAAAACAACTAAACGGGTATGGATAGATCAGTGGCCACTGAAGCAAGAACAGCTGCAAATTATTAATAGCTTGGTGCAAGAACAACTGGAAGCTGGGCACATTGTGCCGTCAACCAGTCCGTGGAATACACCTATATTTACTATACCAAAAAAATCTGGAAAATGG